GCGGTCTCGAAAGAAGGAGCGGGTCGCACCTAAGTCAAGGGTGAAGGTGTGTAAGGCCTGAGTCGACGTGGTACCTGAGAGAGCAGACTCACCAGCACCTGGGGCAGCAGACGCACTAGCACCTAGAGCAGCAGCCTCAATGTCCGGGTCAGGCGGAACACACAGGTAACAGTCACCCTCATTACAAGTAGACACAACATACATGGCAGCAAGAATGACATCATAATCGAGATCAAAGACAGCAACCCCTGACCTAAGCAGCTCGCCCCAGCGGGGGATCTCAGTGGCGTCAGGGAACTGGAGACGCCAAGCGTCTGTCAGACGGCCGAAGCAGCGCTGGGTGGTGTGCGGGCCACCGTACGGCTCACTAGTGCGGTCGCCGGTATGTAGGACGTAGGCACAAGGACCAGTACCCCCACCCCGCTGACGCGCAGAGTACCACTCACGAAGCTGCTGGGGGGGGCGGGGTCTTACGAGCGCGCTGCTGTTGCTGGCGCTGACCACCACCAAAGCCGCCCCGCTGCGCAGAGCCACCCCGACTAGCTCCACCTCCTCCGCCACCACCTCCGCCACCGCCGCCACCGCCTCCTCCTCCGCTCCCACCGCTACCGCCGCCGCCGCCTCCGCCTCCACCGCCGCCTCTGAAGCCCCCACCCCCGCCACCACTCCCACCACCACCCCCACTCCCTCCGCCTCCTCCACCGCCACCTCCACCGCCCCCGCCAGCCCCTCCAGCGCCCTTGCCCCCCTTGCCTTTGCCGGTGCGGCATCGCACGCTAGGGGCAGACGCAGCGCCGACCGACTCGGTGCTAACGAAGTCGACGGCAGCAGCAGAGGCAACAGAGGGCAAAAGGGGGGAGGGGGAGCACCTCTCAAAGACGGGGGCACGAGGGTCACCAAGAGAGACTCCTACAGCGACTGTACTCTTCTCGGCTGCCAGGAGGCGCTCCTCGAGGAGGTAAACGGTGAGTGTGGTGGGGAAAACTGAGAGGAAGTGGTCCCTGACCGAGCGAAGGGAGTTAGGGAGCCGGGTGATTATGTAGTAGAGGGTGATGTATATGGGAGGGGGGTTCTTGGCGCAGAACTCAGCAGGAAGCGCAGCCCGGTAGCGGGTTTCACTAGTGCGAAGGTGCATAACGAGGTCAGTGATAGTGGGAAAGGCGGCGAGGTCAGGAAACAGGTACGGCAGCATGAGGCGGCTAAGGGCAGCAGTGGCAGGGGAAGAGTAGCGTACAACTACAGCATCGTACAAGGTCTTAGCACTCTTGTACTGACTAAAGTGCGCGCGCTCAGTGGACGCCAAGTAACTACGCACAACAAGACGGGCAGCAGCATCGCGTGTGGCCCACTGTGAGCGAATAGTGCTGTCAGCATCGGCAGCAGGGGCAGTAGAGGCGCCAGACGTGAGATCGAACAGGGAGAGACCGTCCTTCCTATCGCACTGTAGGAAAAGTTGGAGATCATCGACCCAGACCTCAAAGTCAACAGCCCGACCCTCAGCATCAAAGACTAGAATACTAGGGGTAGCCATGACAGTAGTGGCAGCAGGCTAGGGGAAGCAGTAGCAGGCGTGGCTCGGCAGTGCTCTCATCAGGGCTGGTAGGTGGGGGCCGACAAGCGGTGGGGCAGGGCAGAGGCGCGTCGGCAGGGACAGAGCCGCGACTGCGGTGGCAGCTCCTGCTATCAGTGGCGGCGGCAGTCGCTGCTGTCGGCGGCGACGGCTGCTGCTGGTGGTGGCCGCCGCTGTTGTCGGCGGCGTCTGCTGCTGTCGGCTGCTGCTGGCGGCGGCGGCGGCTGCTGCTGGCAGCTGCTGCTGCTGGTGGCGGAGGAGCCGAGGAGGGGCCGGGAAGGGTGGCGACGGGGCCACGAAGGGCGGCGACGGGGCCGAAAAGAGGCCGCGAGGGGCCGTAAAGGGCGGCGACGGGGCTGCTAGGGGCGACGACGGGGCCGCGAAGGGCGGCGACGGGGCCGCTAGAGGTGGCGACGGGGCCGCGAAGGGCGGCGACGGGGCCGCTAGGGGCGGCAACGGGGCCACGAAGGTCGGCGACGGGGCCGCTAGAGGTGGCGACGGGGCCGCGAATGGCGGTGACGGGGCCGCTGGAGGTGGCGACGGGTCCGCGAAGGGCGGCGACGGGGCCGCTAGGGGCGGCGACGGGGCCGCAAAGGGCGGCAACGGGGCCACTAGGGGCGGCGACGGGGCCGCGAAGGGGCCGCGAGGGGCCTCAAAGGGCGGCGACGCGGCCGCGAAGGACGGCGACGGGCCCGTATCGGGCGGCGACGGGGTCGCGAAGGGCGGCGACGGGGCCGCGAAGGGTGGCGACGGGGCCGTGAGAGGGGCCTCTAGGAGGGCGCGACAGGCCGCTAAGGCCAGGGGACGCGACGAGAGGGCGGCCCACGGGGCGCGCCTCGGGCAGGGGCGACTCGCGCTCCGGTCAGAAAAAAAAAAAATCAGTGGTGGGCCCTAGGAAGCGTTCCCGCTAGGGAACCTGCTCTATAGCATGTGAAGAAATGAGGAATGAATGAACTAGCAAGCAGGTGGGTACAAGTAGGAAAACCTAAAAGTGTTGTACCCCATATTGTCTACCCCACTACAGCCTACACAGACTATAGCATATGAGTTTGACAATTTTCTTGCCCGCTGTCAGCTTGCGGACTCAATTGCACGGCCAGACGACGTCGGCAGTGCAATATTTTTTCCCACAATGGATGATGACTGCAGACGCAAAAAAAGACAACTCCTACGCTGGGTTTGCAATTATTGCTTCGGGATTGCGTCGGAGTCGTTATTACGCAAAAACGCGGAATTTTGGGGACCCTAAACTCCAGAACTCAGAATACGCAGAGCATCCGCACCGTGATGTCGGGTGTAGAGACAAGTGGCAGTCCATGGGATTGAAGGATATCAAAAAACGGTTAGCGCGGTGCGAGGGTAGTCCACATGATTGAGTAAGCAATAAAACAACAACTCATTAGAGATACAACTCGATAGGGCAATGTGAGAGGTTATAGATAGATAATATATTACCAATAAATATTCCCCACACAATATTCAGCATTAAACACAAAAGCAAGCACGATAATATACATACACACGAATGATCAAACTTTACATAGAAGTAAGGGAAAATAAATTGTGCTGCTTTAAGGAATTGTATTGCTTCCTATAAATACAACCAGTTACAAATACATATTAACGATACAAAAAATGAACTTACAGCCCATACGTCGAATCTTGGGTTATATCAACATTATCATATTTCAGTCATAAAAAATAACATGGTTATATGGCATGAAATAACAGATTACGTGCATCTCCTCAAGATATTTATAATTATGAATGTAACTGACTACGCAACCCTTCCGACGTTAAAGCCCGCGTCCCAAATTGCGGGCCGCGAGGGTCAAGTTCTTAAAACTTGACGAAGTTGAGTGTCCAAGCTTTTGAAAGTCACGCACTTGCAATTTGGGACTTCCGAAGACAGATTCACTCACCAGGGGGAAAACCGAGGGTTGGCTGGGTCTCGCGAAAAATGCTGGTGCGAGTGAGGTGCGATGTAGATACGATCCTAGACACCCATGTGTGACCCTAGACACCTAGATTTGACCCTATAAACTTGGATACAACTTCAGAGTTAAGACGCCTTTAGACGACGGCACTTAGGCACAGGCGACTTGGGAGTGGACACGAGGCAGAAAAAAAAGGAGAGTGGCTGCAGGTGATTCTTCAGTCAATCAAGGGTGACAAAGAAAAGTGACTCCAAGGTAGGCGGCAACAGGATATTTGTGAGAAGCGATGGTGCATTAGGTTATCGCAGATGAAGATACGAAGGCAGGGGTCATGGGAAGATTGGCGCAAGGGCATGGCACGGGAGGATGGAGACGAGTGGACACGCATGGCGTCGTGCGCGGATAGGATTGCCCCGGGCCGGAGAATGAGATGAGCGGCGCGAATACAGGGAAGGCACGGAGCATCGAGGGCGGGAAGGTAGCCGGGGAACGGAGTGAAAGGTGGAGGGTGAAACGAGCGGAGAAAAGGCATGCGACGGAAGGACGAGAAATTGGGGGGTGGGAACGAAATGAAGGGCTGCATCTGGCAAGGATGGGAATGAATGGAGAACGGGATAGGAATGAGGTACGCAGGAAATGGGGGGTGTGAATGCGCGGCGCACATATAAGGTGGGAGAGGGTGAATGAACGGCGGATAGGACTGGGATGGATGGGTGTGGACGGCGATAGGGCAGGGGGGGCGGGAATGTGAGGCAGAAGGATGAGGGGTGAATTCAAGCGGGGGGGTTGGGGGGAGGTTGGGGTGTGAGGCCAAAGGATGGGAATTGAGGGGGAAAAGGAATGCTTACCCTTTGTTAGCCCCCTGATTGAATGCTGTTTGCCCTTTGCCTGTCATCCGTTTCCCTTTTTTCCTTCTCTTCTTACCCATTTCCCCCCTGTTTCCCCTCTGCTTACCCTTCCTCCCCTGCTTACCCTCTCTTCCCCCCCTTTCATGCCTCGTCTCCCATGTGAGTTTTCTCTGTTCGGCCCCTGATTGTCTCTCACTCCCCCGTTCGTCTTTCCTGCTTGCCTAAACCCCCTACCCCTGCGCGCCACGCGTTAGCAACAGCCGCGGGTAAAGATTGCAGCAAGTGACGCTCAGCTGCCAGCTGCCCGTCTCTGCTGCATCGTGGGCATCAGCAGCAAGTGCATGCGAAAAAACGCAACTTTCAAGTGGAAAAAGCGGCTCTGAAAGTTGATTTAAAAACCGGACGGGTTGTGTCGGCTAAAGCTCTGTTGGGAACAGATGGGCTGCAAGGGGAAGCAGTGAATGCAGGGGGGGGGTGTAGGCAAGTGTGCAGAGCAGGTTAGGAGTTGAGTGGTGAGGGAGGGCACGTGGGTTGTAGAAGAGGCGTTTGGGAGCGCGTGGGTTGTCTGAGAGGCGTTTGGGAGCGCGTGGGTTGTCTGAGAGGCGTTTGGGAGCGCGTGGGTTGCCTGAGAGGCGTGTGGGTGGCATGAGGCGGCGGCCGGGAGTAGCGGGGCTGCAGACGGCAGCAGCAGTGAGGGGGCAGTACCGGTCGCTGGGGGAGGATGTGGCGAAGCAGCGCCAGGAGTCGCTGCGGCAGCAGCTTGAAACATTTAGAGGCTTCCTCATGGACTTTGCTCAGAAGCACAAGGTGCGTGGTGTGGTGCCAGGTGGTGCCTGCCCTGCCCTGCCCTGTGTGCTGCATAACTCACTTCTTCCGAACCACAATGGTGCACTGTGTTGTTGAGAACACAATCTGTTGCCATTGCCACCACATGCTCCGCTCTGCTCCCACCCACGCCACCCCACCTCCCGCCCCCCCCCATGCCAGAGTGACATCAGCAGAAACCCGGCGTTCAGGGCGCAGTTCCACGCCATGTTTGCGCAGTGCGGAGTGGACCCCCTCGCCATATTCCTCTCTCCCCTCTCCCCATGTTCCGCTCTGCCCCCCATCCTCCCCTCGTGCCAGAGCGATATCCGCAGCAACCCAGCATTCAGGGCGCAGTTCCACGCCATGTGTGCGCAGTGCGGGGTGGACCCCCTGGCCTCCAACAAGGGCTTCTGGAACGAGCTGCTGGGCTTCGGTGACTTCTATTATGAACTCGGTGAGGCGATTCTTGAGTCTACTAAAAACCCGCTTGCCTAAAAAACCCCCCCGCCTCCAACCCCCCCCCCCCCCCCCCCCCCCCCCCCCCCCCCCCCCCCCCCCCCCCCCCCCCCCCGCCTCAATAACCCGCTTGCTTTTTAAGCCCACTTGTTCCATGGCGTGTGCCCCTCCCCCTTCCCCCTCCCCCTTCCCATTCCCTTTACCTTCCCCCAGAAGGGCGCACAGCTGGTAGAGACGTGCATGGCAACGAGGGTGGACAAACAGGGGGCTGCTGCTGCCATGCCATGCCATGCCATGCCATTGTCCATGCTATCCCTTGACGCCCGCCCTCCCCTCTCCCTCTCGCCCTCCCCCTCCCCAATCCCCTTTTCCTCCCCTCCCAGGAGTGCAGCTGATAGAGACGTGCATGGCAACGAGGGCGGACAACGGCGGGCTGATCAATCTGGAGGAGCTGCGGCGCCTCGTGGCGGGCAAGCGCCGCATGCCGCTGGACGCGCTCTCCCATGACGACTGCATGCGCGCCCTCGCCACCATCAAGGTTTGTGTGACGCCTTTTGAGTCGCCTCAATACTCGTCTACTTACATGCGGATTCTATATCGGTAGTGCGCCGCATGCCTCTGGATGTGCTCTCCCATGACGACTGCATGCGCGCCCTCGCCACCATCAAGGTGTGACGGGTCCCAGCGCACCTCAAGTGTTTCGAGTGGAAATTGGCATAGTTACATAGGTCAGCTTGCGCAACTCCTGTGTTTTCATCTGGCCGCAACCATCACCCTCATTCCTGTAATTCAAACCATTCCACCGCTGCCCTTGTCATCCTTCCTTGTCCTCCCAATGGCTGTCATCGGCAGTCCCTAGGACGAGGGTTTGCGGTGGAGACAGAGAGAGTGGGGGCGGCACACATGGTGCCCCTCTCCTACCTCAACCCCTCCTCCTGCACCACAAGCCCTTGTGCCTCCTCCCTCATCTCCCTTGTTGTCGACAGTCCCTAGGAGGGGGTTTAGCGGTGGAGAGAGTGGGTGCAGCACACGTGGTTTACTCTTTAAAACCTCTCAAAGACCCTCCATCGTCGTCCCAACCTATTGCCGTCATCGGCAGTCCCTAGGAGGAGGGCTTGCGGTGGAGAAGGTGGGGGCGACTCACGTGGTGTCGCTCTCTTGCCCGTGCCCCTCCTCCTGCACCTCAACCCGCCGCGTCCTCTCCCTTGTCTCCCTTTGTCATCGGCAGTCCCTAGGAGGAGGGTTTGCGGTGGAGAAGGTGGGGGCGACACACGTGGTGTCACTCTCTTGCCCGTGCCCCTCCTCCTGCACCTCAACCCGCCACGTCCTCTCCCTTGTCTCCCTTTGTCATGGGCAGTCCCTAGGAGGAGGGTTTGCAGTGGAGAAGGTGGGGGCGACACATGTGGTGCGCTCGCTGCCTCGGGAGCTCAGCACTGACCAGAACGACATCCTCCGCCTTGCGCAGGTGACATGGCAGGTGATGTGGCACAGGTGACGTGGCACAGGTGACGTGGCACAGGTGACGTGGCACAGGTGATGTGGCACAGGTGATGTGGCACAGGTGACGTGGCACATGTGATGTGGCACAGGTGATGTGGCACAGGTGACATGGCGCAGGTGATGTGGCGTAGGTGACGTGGCACAGGTGAATTGGCCTTGAAGCAGTTGTTCTTACTCGGATGAATGAGCTCAGGTGAATTGGTGTGGTGAACTGAGTCAGAGCTAGCTCCTTAAATGTGGTTGTTGTTGACCAGCTGAGTTGTGAGCTGTCGAGTTGCTGCATTGCTGTGTTGTTGAGTTCGAGTTTTTGACTTCTTGAATTGCTGCGTTGTTGTGTTGAGTTGTGTTGTTCGGTCATTGAGCGGATTGCGGTTCTGAAGATTACTTACTTCCTTTTGCGTGCCTACCTGCCTCCCTTTCCTCCATGTGACAGGCGTGTGGGTGTGTGACCATTGCAGACATTCTCTCTGCCACGTCGTGGCAGCACGGCCGAATCAACGATGCTCTTGATGCCCTGCTCAAGGTGACGCGCTGCATTCTGTGAATGACTTCATTCGGCATTTCCCTCTTTCCTTCTCCCTCGTTTTCTTAGCCGCTTCCCCTGCCCATTCTTCCCATTCTCTTCTCATGCGTCCCCCTGCCCCCTCCTCCCCCTCCTTCCCTCCCTCCCTCCCTCCCTCCCTCCCTCCCTCCCTCCCTCCCTCCCTCCCTCCCTCCCTCCCTTAATCCAGGAGAGCATAGCCATGGTGGACTATGGCAATCCCGATAGTCAGCGAGTTGATTTTTGAGTCGACTAAAAAATAAACTCATCACCCCCCCCAACGCCCCCTTTCTCCTCCCCCCGCCACCTCCCTCCCCCCCCCCCGTCCTCCTTTCTACCCCTTTCCAGGAAGGCATAGCGATGGTGGATGATGGCGATCCCGATGGTCAACGGCGCTACTGGTTTCCATGCTTTGACATCGCCGCACCGACATCTCTGTAAACTCAACGGGGCTTGCGCTTGGTTTCCCAGGCTTGCGTACCAACTGGGAGCGGAGGTCCTTGTCTGTACAGTTCACCGAATACCATGGTGTGACTAATTCCGTGTGATCTGCATGGGATACTTCTGAAAGGAGATACCGCTTACGTGATATGTTTATTAATAGCGTACAGTGTTTTGAAAATCCTGGCTTTTAGTCCACCCTGAAGCCAAAGATAACACGCTTCATAACATTTGTTGTGAAATACATCTGTAAAAGTTAAGGTCGAACAGAGTTTCCGATTCGATACAAACAGAGTGGACGAGTGCAATGGATCAAGCTGTCACATTCGCCTGATGCTTCGCACACAATTGTTGAACTTGCAGCGTGGCAGTGTCATCGACGCAGGAGCTGCCATCGTGCAATTGGGATTGGTGAGGTCGCATCATAACCGACATTCTGGTTTCACTTTCTTGCTGGCGACGAGAACCACAAGGGGGTGATGAGGGGGCAAGCTGAAGCAACCAATTGCTGGCGAGATTCGCGTCGTTTTCGCCGTCAACTCACTTTTCTCCTGTCGCCTCGACCCCCCTCGTCAAAAAGTTGTGCCGACGGACGACGAACCGAAATGTCGAAGAAACTTTGAGCGTCGTGCAAGGAAAACGCCAGCCTGTGCGACTCTGGCCAGGGATGATGGAAAGGGGGGTCCCGTCCGTGGAAGAGAGAGGTTCATGGCTCACAGGTAGGTGTTGCTGAGGATGACAACTCATCATGTGTCACTCAACGAAATGGATGAATGCAATTAGTTTCCTTTCGGTCTCGCTAGGTTATAATGGGTTGAATAGGAGAGCGGGGCTGGGAAGAAGAAGGGACAAGCAGACGAAGGAGCAATATGCGTGGAATGTGAGACGCGGCTTGACTGTCGCCGAGAAAAGTCCGTGGCGAGAAAGGCGACGCGGTCGAGGGGGGACCCTTGGGTTGGGGGGAGCTCTCATACATAAAGCATGATGCTCGTTGACTTGTGAGCACATTCAACAGCGACAGCAGCGCTAGCTCACTTGCTCTTAGCCTTGAATAGCAAATTGACTTGCTGTGAGTTGACGACTAGAAGAAGCACGCACGGTCTAAACCATCCTCTCAATTTAGCCCCAATCTTCTCGAAAGGCTCAATCAGCATTTTTTTCGTCTTCCTATCCCTCTCATCGCCTAGGTTCCTAAAGCATCCTACTATACTTAATCCATCTTTTGCTGGCCAGATTCTTTTCCAATCTGTCTAGCTACTTGTGCGAGCATGGGTCTCTTTAGCGGGTTCGTATCGAGGTCCTCAGGCTACCATCCAGCGTCCATTCTCGAGCACGAGTTCGATTTCTCGGGCGCCATAGGCCAGGGGCAGTTCGGCACGGTGTGGCGCTGCTCGTCACGCGCGACGAACCAATCCTTCGCATGCAAGCAGATCCACAAGTCGCAGTTCTTGTCGCACGGCGACCAGATGCGACAGGTGTCGCGCGAAATCGAGGCGATGCAGAGGTTACAGGGCCACGCGAACGTCGTCGACCTTCACAGCGTCTACGAAAACGACGCCTTTATTTTCCTCCTCATGGAACTTTGCCCCGACGGCGACCTCTTTAAACTCATCTCCGAGCAAAACGGGCTGCCGGAGACCGAGGCGCGCTACATCTTTAAGAGGGTCGCTCTCGCCGTGCAGCACTGCCATCGCAACGGAATCGTCCATCGTGACATCAAGCCCGAAAACATCCTCCTCCACGATCCGTCCCCCCCATCCGATGAGTCATCCAACGCCCATTCATCCCTGGACGGGCCAATTTGCCCTCTTCCGCACGCTCACGACGCCGGTTCTTCCGCAGCGCTCGCCTGTGGCTGCGCGCCAAGCCGCGAGTGGGGAGTGAAGCTCGCCGACTTCGGCCTCTCGAGACGTCTCGAGCAGGGTTCCCGCGTGCGAGGCCGCGTCGGAAGCTACCCGTACGAGGCTCCCGAGGTGGTCGCATCTGAGCCGTACGATTGGTCTGCTGACGTGTGGAGTCTCGGGGTGTTGCTGTACACTATGCTTGCTGCTAGCTGGCCAGAATTCAAGGACGGACGACGTGCGCTGAATGAGGACGTAGATTGGTCGAGCCCGAGTTGGCGATTGGTCAGCGACGTGGCCAAGAATCTGATTCGCCGCTTGCTGACTGTGACGCCCTGCGAGCGACCCACGATCGACGAGGTCCTGTGCGACGCGTGGCTGAGCGACGAGTCGTGCGTGAACGTGCTCTGCCCCGCGGCGTGCGACGGTTTGCTTGAGAAAACCGCACAGAATACATGCGACGACCGGAAGGACGTCGCACAACAGTGCTTGAAGGAATTTTTGGCGGTTCGCTCAAGCCCGTCGTTGTCCACGTGGCTTTCAGCCAGTCTGACGTCAGCGCCGTCACTGTCATTGTCTCTATCCTCCTCCTCCGCTTCTTCAAGCAAGCATGTTCCGTTCTGTGAGAGCCTCAGCAGCGATAGCAGCAGCAGCAGCAGCAGTGACGGAAGTAGCAGCGAGAGCAACGGAAACACTGGCAGTGGGAAGGGGCCGCACAATGTGCGTCAAGGTTGGGGTAAGGCAGCTGAATGGGGATTCGGTGCGCAAAGCAGCAGCAGCGACGGCGAGGAGCAAGTTGAGTTGAACCCACAAGCGCAGGAGGAGGCGGTGAGGAGAAGAGAATGCTGCGAGCAGGGAGAAAGTACATGCTGCGAGTGCAGTGGCAGTGGTAGTGGTGGAAGGGACAGTGGCAGCACCTCTGATTGGTGGCAGAGGTCCAGGTTGGCTGCTGTGGCGGCATGGGCTGTGAAGAACGTTTGGGGAACCGCACCTGCTGTTGCGTGCTAGGTAGCGGGTGTTGCCTGTGTTCTGCATCAGCTTCGCAGTTTTGGCTCACCTGCATACCCAATAACGGCTGCATCCTTCAGGGACAGAGAGAACACTGATCTGCTAGCGGCCTGTCAGTGGAAATGCTGCAACTTTAGGCCCATGGGTTTGGGGCTCTTGTATAGCTTCAATGCATATAGTTCTGCACCTAGAGCAGACAGAGCAGCCAGTCTCAGAACTGTGCACTCTTGCAGTGGCAGTTCTGAGACTGACTGCTGCACACCAATGTAGTTTTTGTGCTCAGCCATGTGTATCATACGGTAGTTGAAAACTGTAGAGTTAATTTAATCTATTTATTAGTTTGTTTTGGGGTGCATCCCAGGACAACCATGTCTGCAGAAATCAACCTCTCGCTCTTCTCTCTGTCGCATCAAATTGCCCCTTTCTGACAAGATATCCCTGGTTCATGTTGCACTCCACCTTGAATGAAACACATGAGTTGCACTGGGTAGCAATCAATCAGTGCAGCCTCGAAATACCTGCTCACTCTTGCACGGACAAAAAGAGTGGAATGACGCTCTGACCATTGGGAAACGATCGGCTGCTCAGCCCGCTCTCGGCTGTCGCACATCCCAAACGAAATCAGCACCCTCTTCAAAGCTCCCACGTCTAAATTAGTAAATGACAGACACGCCATGGCGTCAAATGCCGCCGAAGTTACTAAGTCCGTCGAAGCATTCAGGTTTTTGCTAACCTACCTTACCCGGCGTGAAGAAAGACAGGGTTGGAGTTTTAATGGAGGAAGGCACGAACCTTCAGCATCGAGCGGTCCCGTAAAGCTAAACAAAGACACGGAGAATTACCGCGTGGAGCGGAGCACTGAGAAGTTTCTAAACCGCTTCTGCCTTCTGACAACGTGGTAGTGGATACGAGCGCTGCATCCTCTGAGACTGGCGTGCTCGCCGTGATGAATTCCTAGTTCAAGCTATTAGATTTGAAAAGGCAGCTGTGGTAGATACTCACTGAATAGTTACGTGATACGGCACGACTTTGCTATCTTTGTTGGTGCTAGTTTGGTAGTATCCTGTCGCAAGACAGGGTTCAGTGCTCCGGGGCCTGAGTACTGGGGCGCTACATCGGTAGTACGAATAAGGCGTAATCGTTCGCCATAAATATTTCATGTCACACAGTTCCTGGGTCATCGGCATCTGAGTGTACAATTGACCAGCCAACATGATCTTCCGCCCATCTCCTGACACGCCTCGATCCTGGATCCTGGGAACATCATGACTGGTGGAATCACGAAATCAGGGCTGAGTCGCTGATATCCGCGACCAACAACACATCGCGATTGCGAAGGAAGAATGGTTTCATGAGTCTGTGTGCACCAGCCTTCGCACAGGTGAAGTCTTACATCTGACCGAAAGGCCAGTTAGTAGTTACAAAAGCCGAATATGGTAACGGAAGCCGATCATCTCGCATGCACACATTCCCTTCGCACCGCCACACAACCCACCGACCATAATTATTCGCCCGTTTTCTCATGACGCTCATTTTCCACGGCACGCTCTCAACACCTCGTGGGTCAAGAAGGCCAAATTTGGTTCATCCTTCCTAGTGTTGGTTGGGTGTCCCAAAAACGCCTGTGATTTTCCCGAGTTTATAACACCTCGTCTAGCAACTCCCAACCAACCTTCCTAAGGACGCTTCAACTCCTGCAAAAAACGGCGATCGATCCTGCGCAGGATCGAATTTTGACTGGGTTTGAGAAGGTTCCAACACATTTTAAACGTGAAGGCGGGATTTCAGTTCGGTGGACGATCGATATTGAACGATCGATCGCCGTTTTTTGCAGGAGTTGACGCGTCCTAAGGTTGAATATCTTGGCCTAGGATCTTGCCACTCGGTCCATTCCCCTCTCTCTGAACTTCCGCGACGTCGAGCTTGCAGCTTTGGGTCAGATCAAAGCTCGCCGCGCACGATTTCCGGGTCTAACTTGAGTCCCTTGCGTTGTGAATCGCGCGAGTCCCAGGTGTTTCTCCCAGCTCCTGTGGCAGCGAGGCAGTGCGATCGATTGTAGAGTGCGAATCTGCACGATCCACACGATGGCATCAGCTACGAAAGCGCTCCACCTCTCCCCCGTCGCCACCTCTGCGCATCAACGTCCCTCCC